ACATCAATCCAGAACATGTACTGAAAAAAGGAAAAAGGCAGACTATTACTATTCTTTATAATCAGTGCAAACTCAGCTGCATGAAAATATGTCATGTCGGGTACTCTTAGCACAAGGTTCTTTTGGTGCTGCCTACTTGGAATTTCTTGGCCTCTTCATGCTGATTTTTATGGCAATACATTGTATGTCTTGGCTTCCTATGCTTGAGTCCTTTCCACTATTGTATGTTCTACATTTTGACTTGCAGTTCTAGAACAGTGCAACTTGCGGGATGTTTAGGAGGAATACAAGGAAGAGGGCAAATTAATTCTGTTTAAGTCTCAGTCATATTCCATCATTTGCAAAAAAAATAATGCAGTCAATTACAAAAGATGTTGAGGCTGAAGAAGTATTAAAACTAATATCATACAAAGGTGTGGGAAGTCTTCCAATAAATGTGACATGATATAATAGATTTCTGCAACTATTAGGAGCTGGAAAGTATTGCAGGACATTTTGTCAAGAAAAGGAACATCTTGGTATTCCAATAAAGAAGATACATGCTCCAATTTAATTTAGTGGAGTTCTTCTTTACTTCTGATTTGTGATTTGATTTATTTCATTATTTTTTACATCTAGAAGCCTAAAGCCTATACAATGTTGTGATACAGATGTTAAATTATATTTTTGTGAGTGGCAGATTGAATCTAGATCAACTTACTCTATTTATCTGAAATGAAGATGACCTTGTATTTAAGGTGACATCACCTTCCCCTATGTAAGAAAAAAAAATATATAACATAGACAAAAAAACCTGTACAAATCCCAGCTTCTCTACCTGTCAATCAAGCCTTGCCAATCCAACTAAATAAAACCCTAGAGGTTTCCTCCTTAACAAATGTTTCTGTATGACACACTGATACTATATGTATGTGCGCATCTATGTGTGTGTGTGTGTTGTGTATGTGCCAGAAGCCATACTCTGAACCAGCAGGATAAAAAAATTAATATTAATTGAGTTAATACCTATGAAGGGGCTGTAAAATAAGGTATCCTATTTAGAACATTATTTCATTTTTCTATTCTATTTCTATACCAACCACTGTTTCTCATATACAAGCCAGTCACAAAAATACACTACACACAAACTACTCACCTACCCATTCATTTGTTTTCAACAGTTCTTCTCAAGGAATGTAATGGACTTCCTCCTCCATTCAGAAATAATCAGAG